ATTTTTCAGGGTTATATTGACTATATCCTGTACTTATTTTCAGATTAACACTTTTGGTTTCCAACCCTGAACTCTTTGTATGTAAAAAAATTCTGATATTAGAGCAGGTAAGTTTTTTTTATTTAGTTCAATTTTAATTTGATTATGTAGACATACCTTGGACTAATATGGAAGCTGTAATTGTTTATAAATAGCTTTCAAATTCTAATGTCTTTACTGAAAGTGTGATTTATATTTTGAGAAGCAATGAAATAGCTAGATAATGTAAGAGGGAGGTGGAGCCTGAAGGCTTCTGATCTATCAATTTACAAAAATACATAGTTATTTCATTAAATGTATATTTACAGATAAAAATTCAAGCCTACGATAAAATAACTAATGGTAGGTTTTCATATGTTTATGCTTTTTGTAAAAATTCAATTCCTTTTTAAATTTTCTACTTAGACAATGGAATAATTCATCCTTATCATAGATTGTTTTTATGAGTATTATTTAACAGCTAGAAGATAGAATATATGTAAATGCTGTGTGTTATCATCATATATAATTCATTGCACAGCTGAGCTTTAGTCACAATTCAAATTCACTAAGGAACAATGAAACTTCATCATTAATAAATCATCAAATTGTCTTCTAATGAGAACAGATTTTTATTTGTGCTTTCATATAAAATCTTCCAATATACAGCCTGTGATAATGATACTCTAATATGATAGTCTAAATGCCTTCACCATCAGTCAAAATTGCCTATTGCTGTACAACAAACCACCCCCAAACTCAGTGGCTTAAAACAATAGCTATTTGATTGCTCGTGATTCTGTGGATTGGCAATGCAGGCATGGGGCAGCTAATTTCTGCATTTGTGGACACTGGGTATGTCAGCTGGGGTTATCCAGTCCCAGGATGCCTCAAGCACATTGAGGCTTAGAGATGGCCTCTTCAGTTCTTTTTATGGAAGTGGTGTTGCCTTGTAATTAGTGTATTTTCTCCTAAACCTCTATTTAGAAGAGGTTCTCTCAGCAAAATCTGAAAAAACACCCATCAATAGTTTGGTTCAATCACATGTGTGGGGCCTTAGTGCCAGTGGCTGGAAAATCTGTGACAGCCGGGCCTCTCTCCACATACTTTCTTCCCATCACATCCCTTACCCTGAAGGAGTCTATCCTGAGCTTCTGCACAGGCAGCAATGCCCTGAGAAGGCAAGAACAGAAGCTAACAGTCCTCTTAATTCTCGGGTTTGGACGTCACACAACATGTCTTCAGACGTAGTCTGTTGTCACAGCAAGTCATAAAAACAACCTACATTGAATGGCTGGGAAAATAGACTCTGCCTTTTAAAGGAAAAGAATTTGTGGGCATATTGTATCTACCACACTGTCTCATTTTTAAACCAATATTTTATGTAAAATAATACCATGAGTTCCCCCTCCCTGCCCCCCCACACGAGTTTTTCAAAATCTCCATTCCCAAATGTAAATCCCTCCTCAATACGAATGCTTTTGAAAAGTTTTGGGAAGGAAAGAAAAATCTCAACATGTTTATGTAAATCCAAGGGGTAGTAGGGAAAGACACTTTTTTAAGTTAGAAGTCCCTGTTAGATTGAATTCTCAGTTCTATCTCTTATTAATCATGTGATTTCTCTCAGTCATTCTTTCCTTAACAAAATGGAGAGGTAAGACTTGCACCTGTATTACAGAAATATATGAATCCAACTAAGAAATGTAAATAATTTGTAAGGAAAAAATTTAAATGCAAAAAGTGTTTCACAAGCGTAGGGTGGTCATTTCATTCCTGTGATACTTTCAGTTTGGGCCATGCTTACTATAGGGAATTTGGGATCAAAACACACCATATGCAACTATTGTATGTCTCACTGCTACAGATGGCCTCTTTAGTTCTTTTTATGGAAGTGATGTTGCCTTGTAATTGGTGTCAGTTTTCTCCAAGACCTCTATTTAGGAGGTCCACTCAGCAAAACCTCAAACAAACCTGTCGATGGATTGGACCAGAATTCTAATAGAGTTTCTGGTTCTTTGTTGTAAAAGAGAAGATTTAGTGTGAAAACTTCTCCAAGTATGACCATATATTTTGATGACCCTCTGCATTTTACTCTATTGATGGATGTTTATGTAGTTTAACCTGGGACATTCTCCTTGTGTATTTCTTGTAGACTTTGCAGATTTTCAGTTACTTCTGTCTCCTTTCACATGGTTCTATGATTATACGCAAGAGGTTTTCACATATTTTATTTTATTCTTTCCTTGCAAATACTAGGATATATCATTAAAATTTCCATTTTATGGGTTAGATAACTAAAGTAAAGGCATTCAGTAAAAGTTCTCAATAGGATGATACTGACTTTTTTCATGCTTTAGCAATGAAAATATTTGCAATTGTATTTACAAATTGTTTAAAAATAAACATTTTTTAAAAAGTACAAAAGTACTATATGGGCTGGGCGCGGTGGCTCACGCCTGTAATCCTACCACTCTGGGAGGCCGATGCGGGCGGATTTCTTGAGCTCAGGAGTTCGAAACCAGTCTGAGCAAGAGCGAGACCCCGTCTCTACTAAAAATAGGAAGAAATTAATTGGACAACTAAAAATATATAGAAAAAATTAGCCGGGCATGGTGGCACATGCCTGTAGTCCCAGCTACTCGGGAGGCTGAGGCAGGAGGATCGCTTGAGCCCAGGAGTTTGAGGTTGCTGTGAGCTAGGCTGACGCCATGGCACTCTAGCCCGGGCAACATAGTGAGACTGTCTCAAAAAAAAAAAAAAAAGTACTATATGTACATTGTAGAAATTTATAAGATAAAAGGGGAACAAAAAATAAACAAAAAAGCAATGATCACACTACTAAGATAAAATTGCTGTTCAAATTATTGCATGTATGTATATCCAGTCTATTTAAATAAATGTGTGTATGAACCCTCACATACACAGAAGTATCTACATAATATAGCTTATACTGCGTATATGACCTTTTATATGTTTTAACACATCATAAGAATTCTTACATGCTATTAGAAATTTGTAATCAATATATTTTAAATTCTTTACAATATTTCATTCCATAGATAAAATGAAAGTCATTTAACTTAGGCATACTTAGCCATTAGGCTGTTTTCTATCATTTGACATAAAATTCCAGTATCAGTTTTTGTACATATATTATTATTCATATCTCCATTTATGTCATGATAGTCTTTTTATAACGGCTTCATCGACATAATCCACATCATATAGTTCATCCATTTAAAATGTACGATTTAATGGATTTTTTCTACAGAGTTGTGCAAACATTACCTTAATATAATTTTAGAACATTTGTGTTGCCTCCAAAAAATAATTCTAAACAAACCCCAAAAATAATATCTACCGTAACAATGTTATTTCAAGAATTAAAGAAAAAAAATAGTATCTATAAAACACCTAACACATAGCAGGTGCTTGATAAATGTTAGTTTCTCTTGCTGCTTTCCCAGCTGGCAAGCAGTGGGTGAGTAAGCAACATGAAGAAAGGAAGGGGGAAGTCTCTTTTCTTAGGAGGCATGACCCTCATCAGAGCCAAGGGCTATCATTTAAGAGCCATTAATGATGAGACTGAGAACAACCACTCAGCTGTTCACTTCTTTCTCAGGAATATATGAAATTTAAGTTCATTTAAAAATTAAATATATTCACTTATTCCTCCAGAGGTAGTAGATTCATTACTGAGTCTTTGTCTTCTACGTGAGGTGAGCAGAATTTAGTTTTAAAGCTGCTGAATTAATTACTTTTGTTACAGATAAGTGATTTCCTTAGTTCACTTCTATATCTGTCTTCAGCTTCCACAGTGACTTTGTGACGATCACATTGGTATGGGCAAGAATGCAAGAGCTTGCTAAAATTTCGGCTATTCAGTGATATTCCTACTGCTATGCAACCTGAGCATCTATACTTCAACATTTTGGAAGAATTGTCAGTGTCCGTTGCTAGAAAACCGATTACTTCTTTATTTATTATATCTGAACATAATGTAAATGGATCTGTTACTGGTAACTGCTGCTTTCTATTTTTGGCAGTGTGAGTTGGATGTTTAAAAACATGGTCACTTGATTGAGAAACAAAATTCTTTTTTTCAACAGTTGTTTCTTCATGTAGGCTTTGGTTGCAGGTTGAATTGGCTTTACACAAACTCTTACTTTGCTCACTCTCCCTATAACAAGTATTAACTGGGTTTGCACTCTTTAACAGAGTCTTCATTTGGTCATCACTTGCACATGCTTTAGACATGATTCCATGGGATTTATAACTCTGAATGTGTTTAGAATGGCTTTTATCCTTATCTTCTGCTTTGCTACCTCGACCAATACTATCTGCATGGAGACGTTTCAATGCATTCTGAATATTTACGTTCACAGATGAAATATCATCCTTATATTTTTCTCTTCGTATTTCTTCCTCCTTTCCTTCTCTTTCAAGCTGCCTATTCTGTGTGGAATTTCCTTTGCTTTCTTCCAGTGCTCTTCAAGATTCTCTTCTTTCACATTTATATCCCTTAATTGTTCTGTTTCATTTTCATCAAAAGGATATTCTCCTAGACTTAGAGATAATTTCTCTGTGATTTTTTTGCAGTTGTGAGGCACGAATGTGGCAGCTTTGTTTAGTTCCTCATTCTGAGATTCAGTTAAGCTTGGATCATGAGTGGAAGTCCATTGTTTTTGAAAAGGTCATACCGGTTTTCCTCACAATCCTCTGTGCAATGACCGACAGTGGGCTCCCGCGCCCGGGCTTGCCGAGTGGGCACCCACAGGATTCGGTTTCCCTCTTCCCGGCTGTCGTGATCTTAGGCCGCCGGGAGCCCGAGGCCTAGATTCATAGAGAAACGCGTGTCCGGAGGCCGCTGTGGGCAGCATCTGCTTGCCGCTTACAGGATTTTTAATCCTGCGGAAGGGGATTTCTCATTTAATTTTTTTTTTCTTTTGGGAATTTGGAGCTTCAAACCGGGACAGCTGAAAATGGCAAGCTCCCAGGGAGGGCCGTACTGTTTTGAGGGCCTCTTGTCTGAGGCGTTGCGGTCCGTGCGAGCTGCCGTGCCCCGCCCGGCCTCTGCGCCCGCGGACTCCGGCTCGTCTCGGCCGTGCTCTGTGCCACCTGCGAGCCTCCCAGCGGGCCCCCGTCCTGCGGCCGGCAGCTACCCCATGGCCTCGCTGGACGCGGGCGACCTGCGCTCGGACGTCACCCAGGCCGTGCTGCGCGAGAAGCTCAGCCCTGCGGGCCTGTGCTCTCCATCCGGTCCGCCCCGGTGTGATCACCGCCGCTCCCGGGTTTGGCCTACAGCGACTCCCAGCGGCCGGCGGACGCTGAGCGGGCCTCGCACGCCATCAACTTCGATGTGATTAAGGGAGAGCCAGTCCGTGTCATGTGGTCTCGGAGAGACCCCTCTTTGAGAAAATCTGGTGCGGGAAACGTCTTCATCAAGAACCAGGACAGATCTACAGATAACAAGGCACTTTATGATACTTTTTCTGCTTTTGGAAACATTCTGTCCTGTAAGGTGGTGTGTGATGAGAACGGCTCTAAGGTTACGCCTTCGTGCACTTCGAGACCCAAGAGGCTGCCGACAAGGCCATCGAGAAGACGAATGGCATGCTCCTCGAACCGCAAAGTGTTTGTGGGCAGATTCAAGTCTCGCAAAGAGCGGGAAGCTGAGCTTGGAGCCAAAGCCAAGAATTCGCCAATGTGTGTATCAAGAACTTTGGGGAAGAGGTGGATGATGAGAGTCTGAAAGAGCTTTTTAGCCAGTTTGGTAAGACACTAAGTGTCAAGGTGATGAGAGATCCCGGTGGGAAATCCAAAGTCTTTGGCTTTGTGAGTTACGAAAAGCACGAGGATGCCAATGAGGCCGTGGAAGAGATGAACGGAAAAGAAATCAGTGGTAAAGTCATATTTGTAGGCCGTGCTCAGAAGAAAGTGGAATGGCAGGCAGAGTTAAAACGGAAATTTGAGCAGCTGAAACAGGACAGAATTAGTCGATATCAGGGGGTGAATCTATACATTAAGAACTTGGATGACACTATTGATGATGAGAAATTAAGGAAAGAGTTTTCTCCTTTTGGATCAATCACCAGCGCTAAGGTAATGCCGGAGGATGGAAGAAGCAAAGGGTTTGGCTTCGTCTGCTTCTCATCTCCTGAAGAGGCAGCCAAAGCAGTCACTGAGATGAATGGACGCATCGTGGGCTCCAAGCCACTGTACGTTGCCCTGGCCCAGAGGAAGGAAGAGAGAAAGGCTCACCTGACCAACCAATATATGCAGCGGGTGGCTGGAATGAGAGCACTCCCTGCCAGTGCCATCTTAAATCAGTTCCAGCCTGCAGCTGATGGCTGCTTTGTGCCAGCAGTCCCACAGGCTCAAGGAAGACCTCCGTATTATACACCTAACCAGTTAGCACAGATGAGGCCGAGCCACGCAGGCAGCAAGGTGGGAGACCTCAAGGCTTCCAAGGAATGCCAACTGCTATACGCCCGTCTGGGCCTCGTCCAACTCTCCGCCATCTGGCTCCAACTGGTAATGCTCTGGCCTCTCCTGGTCTCCCTACTATTACTCAGAGAGTCGGGTCTGAGTGCCCAGACCGCTTGGCTATGGACTTTGGTGGGGCTGGTGCCTCCCAGCAAGGGCTGACTGACAGCTGCCAGTCTGGAGGCGTTCCCACAGCTGTGCAGAACTTAGCGCCACGTGCTGCTGTTGCTGCTGCCGCTGCTCCTCGGGCTGTTGCGCCATGCAAATACGCCTCCAGTGTCCGCAGCCCTCATCCCGCGATACAGCTTCTGCAGCCACCCTAGCCTGCAGTCCACGTGCAGGGGCAGGCGCCTCTGACTGCCTCCATGCTGGCCGCAGCACGCCCCCAAGAACAGAAGCAGATACTGGGAGAACGTCTGTTCCCGCTCATCCAAACAACGCATTCAAACCCGGCTGGAAAGATTACGGGAATGCTGCTGGAGATCGACAACTCTGAACTGCTGCACATGCTGGAGTTCCCTGAGTCTCTCCGCTCCAAGGTGGATGAAGCTGTGGCAGTTCTACAGGCTCATCATGCCAAGAAAGAAGCTGCCCAGAAAGTGGGTGCTGTTGCTGCTGCTACCTCTTAGACAAGGAAAAACCGATTCAAAGGCAAATAACCCCTCATGGAATTCAGCTCCAGGTTTGAAGACTTCCTAGCTTGTCCTATGGACCTCAACACCAGGAACCACAAATTGCAAATTTAACAGGTCATTTTATATCAAAAGGCCAATTATGAAGCGCCTAGAATTTTTCTATTATATAAATATATTCTCTGGGTTCTGCTATGGCCCAGACAGTGTTAATTTTTTTTTTTCTACTGTGGGTTTTGATTCCCCCCCTCCCCAGAAATTGGTTTATTTGATGTACCCAAGTCTTAAGTTTCTCAATAAAGAAAAATCCATTAAAAAAAAAAAAAAGTCCTCCCACCTCAGCCTCCCAAAGTGCTAGGATTACAGGCGTGAGCCCCCGTGCCCAGCTATTTATGGTATATTTTCATATATAGTGATTTGTATTTCCATTTATTAATTATTTTAATCTTTATTTTGGCATTTCTACCATTGGATTTTTGTTTAATATATTTTTTTAATTGAACTTTTCTTAATTTTATTTTTCATTTGTATAAATTTAAGGGCTACAGGTGTGATTTTATTACATGGATATTTTGCGCAGTGGTGAAGTGAGGGCTTGTAGTATATCCATCTCAAAAGCAATTTATATCATACCCACAAATAGTTTTCTCGACACCTAATCCCTCCCACCCTCCTACCATTCCAAGTCTCTTGATGTCTATCATTCCACACTCTATGTCCATGTGCACACATTATTTAGCTCCCAGTTATAAGTCAGAATGTGTGATATTTGATTTTCTGAGTTATTTCACTGAAGATAATGGCCTCCAGTTCTGTCCATATGTCTGCAAAAGACATAATTTCATTCTTTTTATGGCTGAATAGTATTCCATTGTGAATATATAACACGTTTTCTTTATACAGTAATCTGTTGGTGGGCACTTAGGTTGATTCCATCTTTACTCTTGTGAATAGTGCTGTGATAAAATACCAGTGCAGGTATCGTTGTTATATAATGATTTATTTTCCTTTAAGTAGATACTTGGCAGTGGGATTGCTGGATCGAGTGGTAGTTTTATTTTTAGTTCTTTGAGAAATCTCCATGTTTCACATAGAGGTTGTAATAATTTACATTCCTGTAAATAGTGTATAAGTCTTCCCTTTTCTCCACATCCACACTGACATATGTAATTTTTGACTTTTTAATTATAGCCATTCTGACTGGTGTAAGATGATATCTCATTGTGCTTTTAATTTGCATTTCTCTGACGATTAATGATGTTTAGCATTTATTTTCATTTGCTTGTTAGCCATTTGTATGTCTTCTTTTGTAAAATGTCTATTCCTGTCTTTGACCACTTTTTAATAGGATTATTTGCTTTTTTGTTGTTGTTGAGTTGTTTGAGTTCCTTGTAAATTGTGGATATTGGTACCTTATAGATCACATTATTTGTGAATATTTTCTCCCATTCTGCAGGTTTCTGTTGACTCAGTTGATTATTTATTCTACCGTATAGAAGTTTTTAGTTTAATTAAGTCCCATTTCTCTATTTTTGTTTTTGTTGCTTATGCTTTTAAGATTTTAGTCATGAATTCTTTGCCTAGACCAATGTATAGAAGAGTTTTCCCTAGGTTTTCTTCCTATATTTTTAAAGTTTCAAATTTTACATTTAAGTCTTTAATCCACCTTGAGTTGATTTTCCTATATGGTGAGAAAAGTCCAGTTTCGTTCTTCTGAATATAGGGATACAATTTTCCCAGCACTATTTTTTGCAAAGTGTGTACTTTCCCCAGTGTATGTTTTTGTTGCCTTTGTCAAAGATCAGTTGGCTGTAGATACATGGCTTTGTTTCTAGGTTCTCTGTTCTTTTTCATTGGTCTATGTGTTGTGATACCGGGACCATGCTGCTTTGACAACCATAGCCCTGTATTATAATTTGAAGTCAGGTAATGAGATGACTGCAGCTGCCGGGAGTTAGCTACTCTCCCAGAAAAACAGGTCCCAGGTAGGATCATAGCAAGAGATTTGGATATAACAGAGACAAAGTGTAGGTTAAAGTGATGGGGAAATTAGGGGTCCTCCAGCATTCCCATGAGCCAAGATTCACTGAGTGAAGTCCCACATCAGTATTTATTGGTACAGCAAGCAGTTGTCCTTGGTCATAGAATTATGTGTACATATTATTCGTTTAGGTTTAAAGGCCTCCCAAAGGTTTCAAGAGATCCCTTACCTAATTCTATCTACAAGAGTAAACGGTTACAAATTTTTTTCAAGATAAACATTTTAAGCCCTAAGTTAAGAATAAATCTAGCTGAGCATACAAGTTAAAGATAAAAATGTATAAAAAACAGGAACACTGAGCCTGCATACTTTTCTAATCTATTTCTCTGTATACTGAGACAAGTGGTCAGGAGTGAAACAGAAATAGCCTTGAGGTTTATGATAGTTCCAGCTGCAGGTTGTCTGCTGGGCTGACATCCCTTGATCAGTTTCTTAGCCTTGGGCCCCGTGCCAAGCTCTGCCTTGCACAAGCTCCAGGCTCTGGCTTGCAGTCACCTCTGATTGGTGGAATGCTCCCCTTGTTGCTAAGCAGCTTCTGGTCTGTGAACTAACACACCCACAGATTCCTTCAAGGCAAAGTCCTGTAAAACTCCTGAAACTTTCCACGTCTTAAGAGAAGCCCTATTTCCCAACATGCAAGTTTGTTCTTTTTGCTTAAGATTGCTTTGGCTATTTGGGCTCTTTTTTTATTAGGATTTTTTTTTCTAATTCTCTGAAAAATAGTGTTGGTATTTTGATAGGAATTGCATTCAATCTGTAGGTTGCTTTGGGCAGTATGGTCCTTTTAATGATATTAATTCTTGTGATCCATGAGCATGGGATTCCATTTGTTTGTGTTGTATATAATTTCTTTCACCAGTATTTTGTAATTTTCCTTGAGATCTTTCACCTCCCCAGTTAAATATATTTGAAGGTATTTTTTTTACAGTTATTTTAAAAGAATTGTCTTCTTGATTTGGTCCTCAACTTTATTGTTATTGGTGTGTAGAAATGCTAAAAATTTGTATGTTGATTTTGTATTCTGAAACTTTACTGAATTCACTTTAAAAACTCTAAAGGTTGTTTGGTAAAGTCTTTAGGGTTTTCTAGATATAAGATTATATTCTCAGTGAACAGAGATAATTTGACTTCTTCCTTTCCAATTTGGATGCCTTTCATTTTATTCTCTTGCCTGATTGCCCTGGCTAGGACTTCCAGAACTATGTTGAAGTGGGGAGGCAAAAGTCGCATTCTTGTCTTGTTCCAATTCAAAGAGGGGATGCTTTCAACTTCCCTGTTCTGTATGATGTTAGCTGTGAGTTTGTCACACATGGCATTCATTATTTTGAGGTATGTTCCTTCTATGCCTAATTTTTTGAGGGTTTTATATGAAGCAATGGTGATTTATCAAATGCTTTTTCTACATTTATTGAGATGATCCTATGGGTTTTGTTTTGTAGCATTTTGTTGATAATTTTTGGAAATCCAGGCACTTCACATGGTCTCCACTGACTACACAAGAGATATTGATCATTGCTGTCTGATGGGGATAAAAAGTCATGGCTCCCTGCTTAGCCTTTTCTGATATCACCCTGGTGAGGTGTGAAGAGTGTATTGACTGTCTTATACAGTTTGACAAAGTTATAGATATTATAAATATTATCTGATGATGATACCCATTTAGCACATCAAACTAAGCTTGTAGTTTTAAGTATTATAATGCTGCAATTGACAGAATAATAAATACGGTGCATCATGAGTCATATCAATGGGCATAGACAAAAACAGTCTCAGCAAAAGTCTGCCCTAAATCTAAAGAACCAAGAATGAGCAGCCTAACTAGATAGGACCCTTGTAGACAATAACCACTCTATTCCAGTGGTCAAACACCACAGAAAAAATGTGGCTCCACCTTTGTATGCCAAAAAAGGCCAAGTACAGAGCCTTGATTTTTTTGGATAGGAGAGGGGAAAGAGGTCAGATGGAGTGAGAGAGGGGTAAGACAGCCTAGCCTGTCAATACTCCTATCAAGCTCATCTCATTGAAAAGTATATTTATCACACCGAACACATTTACTTTACTTTTTCCACTTTGATTCAAGTTTTTGCCACTTTTTTCCTTTTTGTAATTATTTACTTCCATGGATGATGAGAAGTAAGGGATGTAACTATTATGTTTATCTTACCTAACATATCTACAGATGTTTATTCAAAGGATTATTTTTCAATGTAATAAAGAAAACTAAAATACAACATGCATTATTAATCAAATTTACCTTAATTCAAACTTGTACTTATTTCT